CGCCGAAGGAGTAGTGCGCGTCGAGGAAAAAGGCCACGGGGCCATCCGGTAAACCGCCGCCCGCGAGTAACTCGCGAAGCGCCGCGCCCGACGAGCCGAGCACGCACGCGACGCGAGGGGCGAAGCGGTCGACGCAGTCCGCGTGGAGAAGAGGGTCGAGCTCCACGGAGTAGACGTTGTCGAAGTGCTCGACGAAGAAGGCCGCGCCGAGGCCCCGGTGGTAGCCCGTCTCGACGACCGTCGCGATGCCGCCCGCGCGGGCGACGAGGACGTCCTTGTCCGCGGCCCGGGCCTTGAGGTCGCGCGCGGCGTCGTCGTCGACGGCGGACGTGAGAGTCGCGTCGACGGCGCCCGCGGCCGCGCGGTGGAAGGTCTCGAGGAACGCGGCCCGCTCCGCGGCCTTGCGCGCCGCGGAGCCCCAGATTTTCCGCCGCGCGCGCTCGCGCGCCGCGGCCTGCCTTTCGGCGAGCGGCGCCGCGAGCCGCCGGACGACGCACGCCGCGTCTTCGCAGCCCTCGCCCCGCTGGGGCAGCGCGTCGGCGATGGACCAGAGGAACGCCTCCGCGTCGGCGTCGACGCCGACGCGGAACAAAATCTCGCGGCCGTCGACGAAGACCGGGAGCTCGACCTCGCGCTCGACGGCGCCGGCGCAGAGCGGGGCCAGGGCGCCGCAGAGGCCCGCCGCGTCGTCGGCGCAGTGCGCGTCGAACTCCGCGCAGACGTCCGGAGGCGCCGCCGCGCCGAGCGCGGCGGCGCACCACAGCGCAAGCTTGAGGCGCATGCTGCCCCCCTTCAAGAACGCCTTCAAGGCTTCAATAATCGGAGTAACATCGGGGAGCGCCGATGGTCATCCTCAGCTCCGATGAGCGGTTCGCGGATCCCCCGCTGTCGGCCACGGCCTACTCCTGGCGCCAGGACGACTCCTGGAAGACGGACAAGCACCTCTGCCTGGAGAAGGTGAAGGAGAACGGCCTCTACCTCGCGACGGCCGCCGAGGAGATGCGCAGCAACCGGCGCATCGTCCTCGCGGCCGTGAAGAGCGACGGCCACGCGCTCAACGTCGCGTCCGAGGCGCTGAAGAACGACGAGGAGATCGTCTTCGCCGCCATCGAGCAGGACGGCGACAGCCTGTCCTTCGCCGGCGACACGCTCCGGAACCGCAAGGACGTCCTCGAGGCCGCGCTCGGGCGCCCGTTCCTGACCAAGGAGGAGATGGACCAGGCCGCGCGGGAGACGGAGAAGTACTGCGAGAAGTTCGAGACCTGGGAGTGGAAGCAGGGCGTCAAGAAGGCCCTCGAGGAGGCCGGCTTCCCCCAGCGGTCCAACGAGATCGACTACAGCTCCTGGAAGGACAAGTACAAGCCCCAGGTCAAGGGCCGCCGCCACCTCAAGAACAACTTCGAGGACGGCCTCGAGGAGGAGGAGACCAACGGGTTCGGGGGCGACGAGTGAGCGTTAAAGCTTCGCGTAACTGCAACAACGGGGGCAGCCCACAAGGTGAACTCCCCTTGCCCTCGACGCTGGGCAGCCGATTTCTGAGCGCGCCGCCCGCCGCCGCGCCATGGCCGCGATGGCGAACGAGCCCAAGGAGTATCCCGACGAGTCGATCCCCTACAAGGGCGAGGGCGCGGCGCTCTTCGGGGCGGAGATGAAGCTGTTGGGCCCGGCCCACGCGGACTACGACGACCTGCCGCGCCACGAGATCTGCCAGGGCGTCGAGTACCACACCGTCGCGCGCGAGTGGCGCTTCCGCTTCACGGGACGCGACGCACATTTTTCCGGCGTCCGCAGGAGTCGAAGCGATGCGCGACCGTTCCTTTCGTAGTCCTGCACGGCGGCCCAGGAGTACTTGACGACGATGTGGCCGAAGATCCGCGCGATCCCGGGCCTGCGGCTCGTGCACCGCTGGGTCCAGGGCCACATCTGCGCCAAGACGGACACGGGCTACTTCAAGATCATCGTCGGCCTGCTCAAGGACGACTTCGACGCCTGGGAGAAGGCCGGCTTCGAGCCGGAGCACGAATACATGACGCACATGTCGAAGTCCGCGCTCATCGACATGGTACGGTGCGGCGTCCCCTTTCGTCTTTTGTGCGTCGTCGACCGTTTTTTCTTCGCAGCTCGACGTCCAGACCTACACGTACCACCAGCTCTCCGACTGCGAGCACGCGTACGAGGGCAAGTTCAGCACGGCGCGCGCCCGCGTCGACGGTTCGCCGCGCGGCCGCCTCCTCGGTCGTTCGGACTTTGGCGATTTCGTAGGCCTTCGTCGACGGCTTCGGCGACCGCATGCCGCACGTCGCGTGGAAGGTCTGGTTCGACACGGTCGTCCGCGAGTACCGGCTCAAGTGGAACGGGTCCATGAAGGCGCTGGCCAAGGTGCAGAAGGTCGTCGACGAGTACCTGCCGGAGATGGGCGACGAGGACGGCTTCAAGTGGGCCCACCGCGTTGTCTGCACGGAGAAGTTCGAGTACCGGCTCCTCGTCCAGCTCCACGAGTACGTCTTCGGGTCCTGGCAGCTCAAGGACTACGACCCCGAGGAGGACTTCCTCGACGACCTCAAGGCCATCGACCACGTCACGGACGTGGAGACGTCGAACGCGACGCTCCAGCCCTGCTGGCCCGAGATCCCGACCAAGGTCGAGGAGCCCTGCGCCCACTGCAACCAGGACCTCCCGAAGCCGCCGCCCATCAAGCCCAAGAACAAGAAGCCCCCGAAGAAGAAGAAGGAGGAGGCCTTCACGCCCTTCTAGCTAAGAGGCCCCGACGTCGACGCCGCCGCTCCGGGGAGGCCGACGCTGCCGTCGATGGTGCCGCGTCGCGCGCGTCGCTTTGAGTGAGCGCTCTCGAATCGAGAGGGGGCGAACCCACGCACCGTCGCCTTGGATCCGCAGCGTTCGACTCGCGGGGGACCTGCCCGCGCGGCGCGCCGGGGCCGGCGTCCATCGTCTCGGGGCCGCGCCGGCGGACGGTGCGCGCGCGCGGGGCAGCCTCGCCGGCGGCGGGGCAGCCCGCCGGCTTTCGCCATGGCGACGCGCGAGGAGCTCGTGGCCTACGTGCGCCTCCTCGAGTCGGCGCTGAGCCGCTGCGGCTACGCGCAGAGCGACCTTCTGGTCCTGCGGCAGCAGGTGCGCTCCGCGCACGCGGGCCGCGCGGCCGCGGCGCGCGGCGCGCCGCCGGCGCCGCGGGCGCCGGCGCCGCCGGGCGACCGGCGCGCCGCGGGCGCCGCGCCGGCGCCGGC